ACACACACACACACATGCTTTTCATGCCTCATTATACCAGCAGTGTGTAACAATTTCTTGCACAAAATAAATTCAATCCTGTCCGGCAATGCTTTTAGGGCTGCTGGCTAATTCTGTTCTGACAGGCTTGGCAGGGCGCCCGAATCCGCCTTTGGCTTTGGGGCAGTAGTTCACAGAAATGAAATTGGTTTAAATTCATTTTTTATGTGCACTCCAAATTGTTAGTTAGGCAACGATTTCAACAGTGTTTGTACATATCTGGTTTATTACATAGTTTATGGCATAAATGAGTTTCAGTTAAGGCGCTTAAATTACAGGACACTTTTTAAGGCCTTCTTGCGTTTTCTCTTCCACATAGTTAAGCAGAAAATTATAATATGGGCATCGCTTGCGGGAAATAAGAAATACTTGGAATTTGGCTGCCATGGCCATCGAGGTAACTGCATACGAGTAATTTTTCCATTCGCTTCTTTTCCAGGAAAATTTTTCTCTCTGCTGCCACGATACCTGTCGCATATCCTTGCGGATTAATTTTGTTTACAGCTTTAAATTTACACATCATTTTCGAGAAGTCAAAGGCCAACCTGTTAGCTTGGAAATCATCAAATTTACAGAAAATATTGTGAAATTGCAGGAAAAAGAAAATGTAAATGTTATTCATAAAGTTAAGTAGTACATTTTTTAATGGTTGGTTAAAATGGTTGTTGTTTTTGTTTCACGTTGCGTATGCGTAATATGTCGCTGCTTTATTACTGATTATGGCGTGCTTTAAAATGCAAACGATTTAAGAGCCCTTTAGAATCTAATTCTCATGTAAATTGACATGACACTAGTATTTATTTAACTATGTTTAGAGTTTTTAAGCGCTTTTTAATTGTTTTTAGAATTGCTCAATTGTCAGATCTAATTTAAAATTTCAATTACTTTCGAAATTTGTTTCAGCACCTGTCTGGCACACACTTGATTTTTCAGCCCATTAAATTGCTATCTAATATGTGAACCTGCATGTCTGAAAAGTTTAACAATTTTCTTTCTCGTACATAATTGTGAGTCCTTTTTAATTGTATATCGCTCCATGGGCAATATGTTATGTGTTTTAAAGTCAACATAATAATATTATTATTTTGAGTTGATCAACTTAAATTTGTGTTTGGCCGACTATATTGTTTTATCAAGCACGATAAAATAATTTTATTTCATCAGTTGGTGCTTAAAAATGAATGCAAAGAAGACTATATGTTTTTTAAAATATAACTTTTTAGATGGTTGCCTTAGAAATACCCGATCTGATCGCTAATTGTGGCTGAACAAAAAATATTGCATACTCTATACAATTTTATACAACTTAAATTACTTTAACTTATACAACTTATTTAAATCATTTTCGTGGTTTAAGTCTGTAATTTCTGAAAGTGCTTAGGGAATTTGTAAAGTTAAGAATAAAGCTTGGTAATCGTTATTCGAAAGGTGTCAGCCCCATCAATTTTAAAGCCGATTCTATAGGAATTTTGTCATTCGTTTACAACTACAAACTATTTATTATTTATTGTCTTAAACGAGCTTGGAGGCGATCATCAATGGTCAATCAAATGAGGTGACAGCTGAATTTTAAAAAGTGTTCTACATCGCATATTGTCAGACAATTGAAAGATGGGAAAACTGTGGGCAAGATAAGCAAAAATAGTGCGATTGAGGAAGTTTGAATCTAGTGCTTTAGGGAACAAACGGAAATAAGTATAGTATTTCTCTAATTTTCTGTGCTTCGGTTGACAGGTCGAGTACTTCTTAAATTCAAATTAAACATGCCCGTGTCACATTTTTATCATATTATTTTTTAAATAGTAGAGTAGTATAGTAGTTGAGATTGATTTTCATAATCACTTTAAAAAGGTTAACAAAAGTTTTTTAATTTTATAGTCAAGCTAAAATAAAAATGTCAATTATCTCAACTTTATATAAAACAGTATTTAAATAATTTTGTAACTAATATAGTATTTCAATTTTTTGATTTTCATTTTGCATTATTTCAACATAACTCATTTACTTTTATATATCTATAAAAACTTTTAATTGTTCAATTTTCAGTTTATTCTTCTCAAAAAGCAACAAGTTTCCGTGTCAGATTCTTACAAATCTTTTTAAAAAATTGAATAAAAAAGGCAGCACTTTTGCCAGACATTCTGCCACTTGGTTGAACATGTTGTCTCGTCATGCAAATTTTCACACGCTCGCCTCAAACCAAAATCCAATTGGGTGCGAGTGCAAGAGGCAGCTAAGAGGCAAGCGTTTATGTACGATAAGATAGATGTTGAACGGGGGTCGCATACAGAGGCAGCAGCTCATATAAAATGTTAATTACCAAGTGAACTTGAACACCCTCAATGCCTCTTGCATCGCTGCCACGCCTACTTGCACACCTCCCTCCCTACTTGTGGCGACAATGGCGACTGAGACGCATTTGAAAAGCAGTTTGCGTGCTCGGGCGCGATCATGTTAATTAGTTTCTTAGAGCCATTTAATTATAGCAAATAGAGTGTGCGCCTGCAATTAATTTTACAAATACTTGCCTGCGACACACATACAAGTATATACATACATATGTGGTTAAGAGTGGTTGCTTAGAGAGCTGGCTGGCAATTAAGACAGTGCAGTCGCTGGAGACAGTGGCCTTATGAATTGGGCCAAGTTAGCATCAGACGAATCATTTAAAAGGCACACGAACAACGAACTTTTGAGCATTTAAACTTGTGAAAGAATTCTAGCGGTTTTTTAGACCAGATTTTTCAAATGGTTCTCTACAACTTCTGGTTGTTTTTAGGTACTTTTAACCCTTCGTATGACTTTTTTCTGATTTTATTGCATTTTTTTCGTCAGATAGAAAAGGCAAAATAAAAATATACGTGTTTTTTGGATTCTTGAGATTTTTTAAACTTGTATATTGTTTTACAAAAAAAAAAACGATGCGTTTTATTATACTCTGTACATGAAATGTACAGAAGTATATTAGGTTTGCGGGAGCTGAAAAATGTAAGAGGCAGAAGGAGACGTGGCAGACCCCACAAAGTTTATATATTCTTGATCAGCATGACGAGACGAGTCGATCTAGCCCTGTTTGTCCGTCTGTCCGTCCGTCCGTCCGTCCGTATGAACACCTGGATCTCAGAGACTATAAGAGATAGAGACACCAAATTTTGCATAAATATGCCTTATGTGTGTATTCTATACGAGTTTGTTTTATTTTTTTGATTTAAATATGGGGGTTTTCCCGATTTTCCATTCGTATAATCGCCTATATCTCGGAGACTATAAGACCTAGGAACACCAAATTTTAGTCCAAGATGCCTTGTGTGAATACGCAGAAAATGGATATTTTGGAATTTCCCTCCCTCCGCAAATCGCAATTTTCTCTAACTCCCGTAATTCTTGGAATTTCGAACTAAAATTTTGCAAATACCCCCAGTTAGTTATTATGAAAGCCAAGTTTCACTATGATAGACCGATTTACCAAGAAGTTATAGCCATAAATATATTTGCTGCTGCAGCGCTGCTCAAGCGCTGCCCGCGGCTGTTGTTGATGTTGCTGTTTGGTTGACTGCTAACATGTTTACACAGACACGAATAGATGCGCATAGGCATACATACACTCACACAGACGCAATTGCTAAGTAAATGTGCAATTATACACCATTTACGTGAGTTCGAATACCGAGAAAGGTAAAGTCAATCAAAAAATTTTTTTTAAATTTTCTTAATTTTTTTTACTCTCTATAATTATTGTAAACATATGTACAGAGTATTTCAAAGTCGGGACACCCGACTTTAGCTTTTTTACTTGTTTTTACATTAAAGTTGTTGCTGGGGTTAAAAAATTTCTGTAAATGAAAATTTTAAAAACTAATTATTCATTTTATTAAAGCTTATTGCGGCCTCACATTTATCGCAGTTTTAGTTGACCTTTATATATTCAAAAAAAAAATTGAAAAAAAAAAATCCGCTAATTTGCTTGCAACCCACGAATCACACAATTGGCACTAAAAGGCACTAAAAGTAACCAAATCAAATACACTTAAAATAAAATGTGTAGAACTACATCAAATAGAAACTTTGCAAATTTCGCGCATACATTGTAAGATAATTGAGTTTAAGCGGTATGTTGCAGATATGCATCTCAGACATACGAAACCAATTAAACACTAGTTTTAAAAAGTTGCCTATGTTCATTTTTAGTTTCAGACTATCTAATTGTTTTCCATGTTTTAGTAATTAAAGCAAATAGCTCTTAAAGCCGACAGTGTTTGGCAATTATTATTAATTTTAATTAAAAAATTATAAAATGATGAAAATATTTAGAATAAATGGAATAAATAAATCATATTCTTATGTATTTATTTACATAGTACTTATGTATGTACATAGTTTTAATATTTATTGTGAATTTTCAATATAGAATAAATAAATATACAAATATTATTTCTACGTTTACAAATGAAATTATAATCAATATTTACTGTACACATGCTCATCATATTTACATATATATACATAGTATATAGAACGATAACACACATACCAGCACATTTATACAGAGCACACAAACACATTCACACACACATCAATTAGTTGGCCCATAAATATTTGCTTAGTGTCGGCGTCGAAAACGCATAAGTTTTGCGGCACCCTGCGCCTTTTTCATGAACGTGAATTGGGGATTGGGCGGAGCTGGAGGATTGGATGTGAGGGTTCTTTTAAACGTCAATTAAGCATTTCGTACCAGAAAATGCCGCATAAGCACGTCAGGCCATTAAGCACACCACCTTATTAGAACTCAAAAAGTGTGGCGGAGGCAAACTTTTAAAAACTCATTAATGCATAAATTTAAGAACATCCTTTAACCTTAACCAACAGCACAACCTCCAGTAACTTATGTATGTGTGTCAATTAAAAAGGGCACTGCAGCGCAACTGAAAGCTCAGCGCACAGTCGGAGTTCGAGCAGAGAACATGGCCAGCACGCATTTTCATGGTGGTGACTCGAACAATAGTTACGGTCGACAGGATGCTCCGCGCGTGAAGGAATTGTTCCCATTACCTCTTACGATGCAGCTGTTGTCGGGTCAAATACCAGCGCCGTTGCATCGTTGGCTCCCTGCTGGGCTGCAGCCGCTCGGTTGGTTCGTTGCTCGGTCCTACTGCCTGCTCGTCATCTTCTCGTCGCTGCATTTGGGGCTGCTATTCAGCAAGTCAACTTTGGACGCCTTACCCACGGGGCAACTGGAGGACATTACGGATGCGCTGACCATGGCTGTGATTTATTTCTTTACTGCCTATGCCACCACCTATTGGTTTGTGCGCTCCCAGCAGCTGCTTGTCTATGTCCAGAACATACAGAGCGAGTATCGTCATCATTCCTTGGCGGGTGTATCTTTTGTCAGTGCCTATGGTGCCTATCGCTGGGCACGCAACTTTTCTGTGATCTGGGTGAGTGCTTGTCTGAGTGGTGTCACCTTCTGGGCCATCACACCTTTGGTCGTGGGCTCGCACACATTGCCTCTAAGTTGCTGGTATCCCTTCGATGCACTCGCTCCGGGCAACTATGCGTCCATCTATGTGACTCAGCTATATGCTCAAATCATGGTTGGCTCTACTTTCTCGTCAAATGGAGCCTTGTTTGTATCATTGTGTGTTCTCTTGTTGGCTCAGTATGATGTGCTTTACTGTAGTCTGAAAAATTTGGATGCGCATGCCAGTTTGCTGGCTGGTGAATCACTCAGTGGATTACGGTGCGTATGAGTAATGTGTGTATAAAAATTAGGATTTAAAATCCGCAAAGGTATGCATTTTATATACTCGTATGCTTAAAAAATCAGTACAATACATGAAATTAATGTTTTTGAAATAGAGACTATATTATTTTTTTTAGTAGTCTTGGAATTCGATTTTAAATTCAGAAATTGTTTAAATTGGCACCAAATTTAGAAAAACATTTGTTTAATTTTTTACGTTCTGACTTCAATGGTCAACTTAATAGCTAATTTTAAATAATCATGTCTCTCAAAACCTAGAAAATTTTTTAAAATCCTTTTATTTGAAGCAATATTGTTTAATTTTCTAAATGGCTCCTTAACTAATCATTCAACAAACAAATTTCATACTGCTTCTAATTTGTGTTGTCGTCTCTATTTGTGAATTCACATTGCGTAATAGTTTCTTTATAAAAGTAGTTTTTAAAATAACACTTATAGTATTATAATTACCCCAATTATTTCACATAGAAGTACAATTTTAAAAATTCCAAATATTAAACACTTATAGAAAGTAGTAGTACTATAGTTAATTTGCTTTCAAATTAGTCTAAAATTTACAAATTAGTCTTTAATTTATAAAGCTGAAAATTCGATTTATCCATCACTTATGCTTATTGAAGCTTATTTATTTATGTATTTATTCAATTTTCAAACTAGGCTTTAATTTATATAGCTGACATATATGCATTAATAACTAATGAAAATTCGATTTATCCATCACTTATGTTTATTCAAGGGTACTTAAATATTATTTAAGTATATTCTTGATATTGATTTTTTATTTCTGATTTCTTCAGTAAATTGCAACTTGAGCTTCTGGCCAGTCCTGCAGCCAGCGAGCTGCAACAATATGTGTTTCTTGAGGAGCATATGACCAATCTGGAAGTTTTTGCTTCCATGCAACGGCTTGGGGTAGGGGAGCCAGCGATAAACATGAAGACAGGACTCCATATGGCCTTAGTCGAGTGCGTGCAACTCCATCGTTTCATTGTAGACAGCTGTGCCGAATTGGAGCGTCTGTTCAATCCATATTGTTTGGTAAAATCGCTGCAGATAACAATACAGCTGTGCCTGCTCGTCTTTGTGGGCGTATCGGGCACTCGGGATGTGCTGCGCATTATAAATCAACTGCAGTACTTGGTGCTCACCCTTTTGGAGCTCTTCATGTTCACCTTTTGTGGCGAATTGTTGCGTCGGCATAGCGTTCGAGCTGGCGATGCCTTGTGGCGTTCCAATTGGTGGCACCATGCCCATCTGATAAAGACCGATGTGCTCATACTGCTGATCAACAGTCGGCGGGCCGTGCAGGTGACTGCGGGAAAATTCTATGTCATGGATGTGAATCGTTTGCGTTTAGTAAGTGCTGGAATTACTCAGATTCTTAATCTTAAACATATACATAAAGAGTATACTAACTTTTTATGAACAGGTGGTCACGCAGGCTTTCTCGTTTCTAACGCTGCTGCAAAAGCTGGCTGCGAAAAAGACGCTCGAGACTTGAGATTTGAGACTTGACTTGATTGGAGAAGTGTGCTTTCAGATCAAAACATTTTCACAAATTTATTTGCACAAATATTTGCTTAGCTCATTACGAAAAGAGAAGGCAAATAAAAAGTTAAGCGTTCTCTTCGTTTTTTAAATATTTGCGCACATTTGCATTTTAGGCATGTCTCTCAGCTAGAGAGTGGTTATATGAGTATGTGTGTGTCGGAATGTTTGTGTGTGTTTGTGTGCTTCTAATGCCTTTGGCCTGTCACTGATAACGAATCTCATTGCTTACCTTCGTCGCACACGTGCAACCCAATTCGAAAGAAGGAACAGTCCTGAATGAAAATTTGTGTCTACTTATCTGTTTGAGCCAACAAAAAAAGTTGAAGCTGAAATCGCACATGACTGCCGCTGAGATTTGTATGCGCATTGAGTTCTGCATGTGTGTGTGTGTGTGCGTGTTTGTGCTTGTGTGTGTGGGAGTATTGGCAAAAGCCTAAAAAGCGACTTTAATATTCCTGTTTGGTGCATTTGCCAAGACACGTACGGGTCGCGCGCCAACTTATGGCAAACTTTTCAACTCATTTGCGATATTCATTTTTCATTGTGCCAAAGACAGTCACACATACATACACACACACACCCACACACCCACACTCCCATACACACACACTGAGGTAAAGTTTCGCTCGCTTTGGCGCACGTAAGTATGCTATGTATATTTATAGTGACTCATTTGTTTCACTTTTTGCCTGTTATTGCTTGGCCTCTTGTTCGTCTCCCCCTCTTTTAGATTATTACCTTTTTGCTGGGAGCTTTAACGCTTTTGTATTTTTTTTTTCTGCGGAAATACTTTTTACTTCTGTGTTGTTACTTCCTTTGTGCTAACTGCCTTAACTACAGTTATGCGTGTGGCAAGGCGGGCAAAAAACTGTAGTCAGGCTTTTATTACATGATATTTGATAAGCATTGCATTGTGCACTGGAGCTATGGAGAGAGTGTTTGTGGAGATAAATGTGCACGCATATTTCTTGCCGAGCTAACGTGAATGGAATGGAATTGTGCTGTTATGTATAATATTTTAAACTAGTTCTCTGAATTACGATCGACTCGTTGAGTAAAAATGAAATACATTTGCAGTATAGATAAGATTTGAAGTATATCTTATTTTGTTTATTGTGAAACCAAGTGAACCTCATTTCAGAACCAGTTCCCATTGCAGGGAGCAAACCATTTCAGCTGGCAACGATAGCAGATAATATGTAGTGGCTGTCTATAATAATCCAAGGTTGCCGGGGTCGCTTTGTTAATGGCAGCTCGTTACCATTGAAAAATGCATAACATTCATATCCGAGTGGTGTGCTTTGCTGAGCTAAGCTGCACTGCGTCCCTGAGCTCCACTAATTGCCAATGCAGGGAGCATGAAGTGCGCCACTTGGCCAAACAACCCCAAATGGTTGTGGCAGCTTAAAATCAAAATAGTTTATGGCATGAATGCAAAGCTGCGGCAAAAATCTGTGGAAAAATGAACAAATCAAATTAAACGAGCAACGCGTTCTAGCCACTCAGCCCCAAAAAGATGGAAACGAAAAAGGTTCTGTGCGGTTCGGAGTCAGTAATGCGCGAAAATATGTTTACAAACTAATTTATTTAGAGCGATGCTCAAGCTTAAAACTGCAGAATGCCAATTTAAATTGAGTGGATGAGTTGAAGAATTTTTGCTGTCAACATGGCGGACCTGGCGCCCGCCCGTATTGACAGGCAGTTGGACAGATGCCAAGGCTGCGCCAACTTTGATGTAGACTCGTGAAATTGAATTAACACAAAAGCCGCTTGCCGTCAACTTTAGGCAATCAACTCGAGGCATTTTAATTGAAAACAATCAATAAAGAGCAACATCATTGCTGGGGCAATAGACAGGCGTGGCGTGGTTGATGCCATTGTCTTAGGCCCAGAAATACATTAGCCATTATTAAATATTAAGTTCAAGCCTCAAGCATGGTACCCTTGCCAAATTTCATTAGCAGGTAATGTGCACTTATGTAGATTCAAAGCCCGTAGTGGCTGAAAAAGCACACTTCGGATGTCCCTCCATACAACACTTCCAGGCTGTCTTTAAAGCTAGATTCTCATTGATTTTTAATGCGTTTTTGAGGTCATCTAGTGGGAAATGCTATTGAATGAAATAAATAAATAATTTTATTTGAATTTAAATTGGTTAAAAAGGGGAGCTTTTCCAAAGTACAAAAAAATCAATACCTCTTACATCATTTGTAGAATGCTTTAAAAATGTTGAAGGCCAAATAAATGTTAATTTTAGCTGTCTAAGGAATAATTATTTATTTTATAATTTCATCATCAAGAATTCAAAATTCCTCTCAAGAACTTTGAAGTTTTTTGTTTATTTGAAAATTGTGTATTTTGAAGACAAGCTTTAAGATATTGGTATCATCCTACAGAACTCCTTAATAGCTGGTGAACGGAAGCCGCAAAATAAATGATACAAAAATAATAAATATTAATAAAAAATTAAAATTAATTAATCATACTTTTTTTGATTAGTTAAGAATACATTTGGAATAGAACGGTTATTTATGCATGAAAGACCTCTAAAAGAAGCTAAAAATAATTTATAAAGTATTACAGTTAAAAGTCTATTAAAAATTGAAAGTAGTATACAAGTATGAAGATTGTGAAAATGAATTAATAAATTATTTGTAATAAATTATATAAAGTAACAACTTTGAGATTATAAAAGGAAAAGTAACATTTTCATGTTTTAAAGCATAGCTTCTATTCTTCAAATGTTTTCGAGTGGTTTGATTAAAACATCAAAACTGTGTGCAACACCTTTGCTAATTTAAACAATTCTAATTATCGCTCAACATCTGTTGGTTTTCTCTTAGATTAGTCGCTCAATTTCACATAAACAAAGCCATCCAGGCGACATTTTATGCAAATGGGTTGGCATTTAATTTTTGTCATACAATGTGACATTGTGAGTTATTTGAAATTAATTGCGTCGAAGCGCGCTGCACAAAAAAATAAATAACTATAAATAACAGAAAAGAAAATGCTGTCAACCCATTAGGCAAACATGCAACATGCCGGCCTACATGTCGTATACACAATACCGATTATACCATGGCATTATAATTGTTTTATGCTGTCATAAATTGCATGGTCAGCGTTCCAACAGAGCAGAAATCACAAATACATACCGCCCTCCAGATTCCCACACACCCATCACACACACCTACAAGTACAATGTGGCGCACAATCAAAGTTCAACACAAAACCGTCATATAATTTGTCATACAAACTATGCATAAACTTTTGTGCGTGGGCAGTTATGTGCATGTGTATGTGAGCGCTCTATGTGTGCGTTAATAGCACAACGTGTGACTTTTCCACACCCACAAGTTCGGTACCGCCATAATAATAATACACTAAGCGCGTTGAAATGCAACAATTCAATTAGATGTGACATTTCAATGGGCATTGAGCTTTGACATTGCATACATCAAGGCGCACAGGCAGTTAAGCTCTCAGTCTAATACTATTATGGTCACTATACGCACCAAAAGGCACTTGAACTTGCCTTCGAGTTGAATAATTCCAATGCATTCAATGCCCAGATAGCTTTAATGGTTTGAATTCTACGAATATGAATGTTTGAACTGCTTGCTCTGGAGTGTTTGGCCTCAACCATCAACTGAAAAGTCAACTAAAGTGGTTATAGAATGCTGTAACAAGCCCAAGTTGCACAAACACGTTATTTGAATGACACGCAACTTTCAGGGAATGAATAAATATATACAGCAGATCGCTGCACATTTCAATAGAGATGGGCATTTTAGAGAAATTGGGGAAAGGATGTGGATCATGGCGAGCCATGTTGAAGAAATTTCGATCAACTATGTTATTAAAGGGTTAATTATAAGTATACTTGAGAAGACTTGCAATATGATTATATAATAATAAGTAGAACACTATGTTGAAGAAGTATAAGTATATCAGAAGAAGTTTAAAACGTATTTTCATATTTCATTTTTCAATTTTGCAATTTTATATATTTTTTATATTTTTCTTAAATTACTTTTCGCTTCTTGGTTATGGGTCTAATGGACTTATTTTGTAAGCCAAATAGAAACAATTCGGCAGATTTTCGTAAATATTTGTACACCTGAGGTTTTTATTGTCGTTTAATATTCACAATCATTAAAAAGTCGATTAGGCACAAGAAAGAAGGAACTTTTCAATAATAATTTCTCATGAACATTTTGAGAAGATTACAATGTTTTCATTTAAGTTAAAGTAAATTTTGATTAATAATCAATTAGCTGGATATGCCACAATGTGATCTAATTATGTACTTACATATTAACTTTGTATTCATTTGAATTATTTAATTTAAATGCTTGCACATATTGCTAGCCATAGCTTTAGTTTTCTTCTTTGTGTTCAGCGCTCGTTAATCTCCTTGTGGATCGCCACATTTGACATTTGTTCTCACGATATATGCAGAAGTTGCAGGGATGAGGAAGAAGGAACACCGTAGAGAACTTTATTTGTTTAGTTGAAGGAGAAATGGAGATCCTGCACTTAGCTCAATTAATTAGCAGGGGGATTTATATGGCACCACAATTGGCCTCTTAAGGGCTAACCAAACGCTGAACATTTCATGAATTCAGATAGAACATCGCTAATCCCAAATATATGTATATTTGTTCATTGATGTGTGCATGAAGTGAGGCGATAAAGTTCACACTACTGACCAGGCGTGAGCCTTTTATTCTTCCTCATTGTTCAATTTCATTTTTATGAGTTTTTTTTTACAATTAAACAAAAATATTTTACAATACTGTGCAGGTAAAATGCACACAAATACCAAACCAACAAAAAAATCTCGCTCACACAATGATGAAATACAAAAAGGAAAACAAACGGATGGCGACGATTTTCACATTCTTTGTTGTAATGCCCGTAGATTTTAATGCGCTTATTTGTGTA